CTCACTAACATGTCTGGTTCCTGTTTTCTTGTCCTCACAGCCATCAGAGTCCTCTGATAGGACAGGGATCACAGTGATCACATTCCTTGTAACAGCAGCTGTAACATCTGGGATCGTTGGTCCTCTGGCTTTCCTCTTGGGCCGGAAACGGAGGAGAGAAACGAGAGACGAGGAGACCGGAGCCCAACTAAACGGGTGCCATACCACCAATAATGATCAGTCATCAGGAGATCAGCACGTCTCTACAAATGGCTTTAAAAGGCCACCTGATGCTCCAGAGGAAATTACCCTACTGCCTAATGATAATAACAAGAATAATAACGAATAAAAAAATTAAATAAACATCTTTTGTAAATAAAGGAACTGGTTCTTTTACTTGGAGATGCTCATCAGTGTCTCCATGTCTTCCTATCGTGTCTAAATTCACCTTCTGTGTTTACATGGAAAGCTCATCGCATCTGTTCTGGAACATTTAGACTTAATGAGAAAATATTTCAAAGAATCAAATATGGACAAGCATAAGTAAAGTTTGGGATTTTCTTTCTGTAGTATAGTTTCTTGGTAAGCTTGTCCTTGCTAAAGCTGTGAATCTCATTCATTCACTTATTCATATTTAAATAAAAATTCCCAGTAGAAGGAGCACATTATAGCAGGTGGGACTCGTGCTCTCCTCAATTTCCAGAGGAAGTAGAAGCGAGTTTGAGCCTCCTTGGGCAGCGATGTGGTGCTGTGAGACGGAGAGGTCCTCGTTCAATCTACGAACAGGCAGTAATTTAACAGCTATAAATCAGGAGGAGAAACGATCTCAAACATGAGGTTACAGCCAGCATCTCTGATGGATATAAGAGATTTTATTTGCTGACAAACTGATTAAATTGTCTAAACTGTAGAAATTAGGAAACACACACAAGAATGATTCTTTTTTCCCTTTGAATGCCTCTGTGGAGAGTTTCCCAGTGTAGCCCAGCAAAGACAAAGGTTATTGGAGGCAAATGGTTCAGGAAACACCGAGGCTGTTACACACTGGGAGAAAGTGTCTGGACCTGATCCAGGCTGTTCATGAATCAAAAGGAAATGAACGGACACGCTCGTTTTAATCCTCATTTCCTGAAAATTCCTTCAGGAAAGACAAAATAATGCTCATGTTGTAAAATGACCAACGCTTTCATGACAGCGCAACCAAATGCAGGACACAGAGGCAGATAAAGTCAAATTAAAAGGCGAGACATTTACTGGCTTTAAATAAAAGTGTGAATCTACACAAAGTTCACCAAAACAGGGTGAATTCAATTAATCACCTGATAAGGATTTCAGATACAGCTAATACATCTACTTTATTTCCATAAAACCCTCCCTGTCATATTTATTTTAAAAAAGGGTTTTTTAAGGTACTTTTCATTAAGAAGTCAGAAACTATTTTCAGTCAGCATTAAGGACCCCAACACAGATCACCACTTCACAGACTTTTTATCACCATGTAAATATGCAAAAAACCAGCTTTGTGATTCATTTTTGACACTGGTGCTTCTTCTGGCCATGACTGTAGTGAACATCAGGCTCTGGCTGTTCAGTCAGGTCCAATAGAGCAGGGGTGTCAAACTCAAGGCACACTTTAGGTCGCGGGCCAAACAAGATAAACATTTATTGAACACTAAAACAATGTTTTTTAAACATAAATATGAATAAAAACAGACAGGAATATTATTCCAGATTAAATAAACTTAAAAAAAGAAACTTTAACTTT